ACATTCTCTTCTGTCTCTGCCACCGATTTTCAGGATGGTCTTTCTCAAGATACCTTTTTTGTCTGAGTTTTCCATTGATACTGACTTCTTTTTTAGGAAAAGTTGAGAACCATGCTTGAAAAGTGTTATGTAAGAGCTAAGTAAAATTGCAAATAATACTAATACTACCACTGGTATTGCTAATAGTCTTTCTGTTATTGTTTTTGTTACTAAATGTGGGGAAGGTTTGCCATGACATACACTCACTAAGATATGACTTAACCTCTATGCTATTCCATAGTAAGCACAGTAAATCTGTGCAGCGGGGATTTGTGGTATGGATGGGGGAAAAGGATGTTTGTCCTTAGAGACGTTAGAATTAGCTACGAATTAACTTACCTGAATGTATCAAGCTCTGATTTTTCCTATTTTGCCCCTTTTGTAGACATTTACCATTTATGTGAAATCTGAGCAAAATACTGGTATTCAGATGTTAACTGTTTTACTTCCATTTTGCACAAGCATGTAATTGTCTAAACACGGTGTAAAGTAAAGTAAACTCAGACCCTTAGAAATGCTACACTGGCAGACATGGGATATCTTAAAAATGGGTATTTAGACTGTGTGCATATAGATTCCCAAAGCAACTTCTGTAGAAATAAAATGCTCAGTTTCAGTTGAATTCAGTAGGATTTAGGTGTCTCGCTCTGAACCGTCTGTGAAAATTTCATCTCTCATCCCTCTTCTGTATAGTTCAAGGACCAATTTTCTCTTGCATTTCTTCTCTTGAATACTTAATACAGCTTATCAGTTTGGAAGAGGGCAAAATGCAGAAATCATCAGGAAGCTTTTAGGACAATTCTTTTCTCTGAGTTATTTGATATGTCTAGCCAGCCAGATTTCATGTATTCCTCTCATGTCTTTCAGTGCACAGTTCCTGTCCTTTATCCTTTCTGATTTTATAAGATTTCTGAGTCCCCTTGGTATATCACAGGAGGGTGTTAGGCAGCCTGAATTTCCTAAAAAGATCTTTAGCCATGAGGTACTTCAACAGCAAAACATTCAAGACAGTTAATCCTTGCCTGGTTGACTGGAATGGGCATGTTCCCTAGTAACAAGGGACTGATTACGGAAAAGAAAGAGGCTGCCTGCTTCACTGTTTCATTGCATTAAATATTTGAGATCTATACATCCCTTTCTCTGTTATCAAGGCAGGAGGTATGTAAATAATAGTAACATTGGGAAAATGCTACATCTTGCTGCCATGTGGGCAGTCATGAAGAGATGATATTTTAATGGTGTAACTTTAAAACAGGTCCCATAATTTTTGGGATGAGACTGTTGTTTTGTAAAGTCAGACTGTAACATAGGAATTTATACAAAGTGCATTCACTTCAAAGTCTGAAATAGGGAGTCACTGCTAGATAAAAGCATTGGCCAAGAAAAAGGAAATTATGCATATTATGCATTTTGCAAGGGAAAATATAGCACAACTGTTGTCCAGGTTTTCCAGCTTCAAGTATCTCATATATGTACTTTAAAGCAGGCGTGTCAAACTTATCTGTTCCTGTGGGGCTGGATTAGGCACAGACCCCGCCCTGCCCTCATGTCTGAGTGGGTGCCACAAGGACCACAACCTAGGACCTTGCTCCAGTGAGCACTGCATACAGTGTGCATCCCAGGCAAGCCTGGTACAGTGTGTGGGTCAAAGGAGCAGCATCAAGGACTGGATTATGGAGCTCCACAAGCCACATTTTGCATGCACCTTTAGCATACTAGGTCTCTTTGTTGTCCACATTTTAATAAACCATGTGCCCAACGTTTTCAGTAAAAGGAGGGACATTACCATAAGTAGTTGAGAGTTTCTCCTTCTAGTTCCACTTAATGAGGCTCAATATCTATATGGAGAGTAGGGTTACTGTGAGTGATGGGCTCAGAATATTATATGTCCTTCCCCTGCCAGAAAAGACCTTGCTAATTTTCAGATCTTCAGTATTTCTCGTCTGTTCATGTCTCTGTATTCTATTCCTCCTTTTCTATTTCAGGAAAATAAAGGAATACTTTACAATTCAGATTTTTGGCTTGTTCACATTAGACTATGCACATCTCTTATTTTTTCACTTTGAAAAAAGTAGATTTGAGATGTGGCTGCTGAAATAGTAATATTTACTGATTTGGGACAGGCTAAGAATGACATTGGCATGACTGCACGAGGAAGCTTCAAAGAGCTTGTTTTTCTGGTGCCTAAACTTAGTTGAGTCCTGTCAAGTCCTCATTTCAAAAGCATCAATGTAGCACAGCATGTATACATGTTTATATTAGAATGCTTGATTTCTTTTAATAAAGGATGTAGCCCTAGGAATGTTTTCACTTTTCTGTGCATGGCACAGTATCTTCCTAAGCCTTAATTTTCTATGCAGTCTATCATAATGAAATCCTTGCCTTATTGAAGGAAATGTCAAAAGTAGCATTCATTTTAAAAGAACTGGGATTTCTGGATGGGTGTGTGGCTTTTCAGGTGTTTGTTTATCAATTTTAATTTTCAGTGAGGTCCAGTGTGAGAGTTTGTTAATTCTTCATTTTTTTTAGGTAAGACTTGTATGTATAGTGAAGTTCTACCAACTATAGAAATGTACTGGTTCTGTCAATTTATGCAAAAGTAAATTTAATTTTGATACTGAAACTATTGATCCAAAAATTCTCCAGGCTGATTGATTCAGTAACTGTGATAGATTTTTGCTAAATTTCTTCTAAGGATTTGTAACAAACTGTACTGGACTGCTATTAAATTAAAACATGAATTCTGTCTGAAAAAATATTTAACTTTTATTTTACAAATGAGATCCAGGAGGAGAAGTTTGTTTTTTCAGTTTGGTTCCTTTTGTTCATAGTTGCATAAATGGTACTGCAATTTGCTTTGAGCAGTACTAAAAGTCCATGTAGATGCAAGTCCATCTGTGTAGGAATACTTGTATAATCAAAGCCTGTGTAAGTTTTCTGTTTGCATCAGGATTTATGGAAATACCATATGTACTTGCATACCACATATACCTTTTCCCCTTGGCCCTTCAAAATTGAATATCTTCTGCAGGGAAGATGATTTTTATGCCTAGAATAGAAGCACCCTGCTCTGATGCCTGATTTTCTGTTTAGGCTGCTGAGGTCATAATTTGACTCAATGGCTCATTGTTCTACATTCCTTAGGTGTCAACGATGCTCTCTTTTTTAATAGTTTTATAGTTCCACTGATCAAGCTGACTTCTTTTTGCAATTTTGATGTCTTTTAGCTACTCTTGGTGTTTCTTCTCCTACTAGAAAGCCTTTCGCATTGTTTTTAGCCTGTTTTTAAATTATAAAGCCACCAATGGAATCCAGTTTTCAGCAGCGGCTAGGATTTCAGCTTTTGGATAAACAGGAAAAGGATGGTTGGTGAGCTGAAGATTAGGCTCTGTCCCCTCTCTATGCAGCCATAACTCTGGAAAAAAAAATCTTCCTTCCCAAAAACAAGATACAGTCACATTTGGGAGCATATGGTGTAAAAGAAAATATGGTAACAGTATCTTTCATGCTATAGCACATGAGTTATATGCAACTTCCAGGCAATTTCTGTGCAGCTGTTTTGAGAGAGAAAACAATTTAATGACACACAATTATTTCAGCTGGGTTACTGTAGACAGATCACTGACTCTGGGATATGCACATTTTGAGAATTTTATGTCCTGCGGCACTCTACAAGAAAATGATGCATGGTTTGTAGCTATAAGGTTTCAGAGGTTTTGCCATCTCTCGTGTATACCAACACAAATAGTACCTGAATCTACTTTAAGTTCATTTTTTGTATTAATTGGATTTCAAGAAGAAATTTGTATGTTTTCATTCAAGCATATAAGGCAATGTGCATATACTATTTGTAAAGTAATTACTATGGAACAGATTATTAGAACATACCGACAGCATTTTCCAGTTGTACAAAAAAACTACAACTTATTCAGAAGTGCTGTTGCAACTGTACAATCTGAAATTATATTAAACATAAATCATGCTCTCAGAATTCCTATTTTAGTGTACTGCTGATGGTTACAAACCATATACAATCAGGTTACACATACATTTTTAAAGTAGTTGATTAAATGCATTCTGACCATATGTATTCAGTATTTTCCTAATTGGCTAGAGCGGTAAGAACCAACCAGACATCCTAAAGACATGAACAGAATGTTGTGGATGACATCATGTACCTGGATATAGCCTATTGATCTGTCCCTCCTCAAAATGATTTCCCTCTAGCCATATTTTCCTCCCAAGATTAGTCGCCTAGGTAAGCTTTTGCTTACAAATGGACAACAATTTGAGCAATCTTCTGTTTTGTTCATCAGATATCATTGAAACTGTAGCTCATCGTTCCGTATCTATATAAGTATACTAATAAATGCTGAATTTATGCATCAGCCTCATTAGGACTGCTTTTTTCCTCTCCCTTTTTCCTTTTCCTTTTTTTTTCCTTTTTCTTTAATCTTTTTTTATATTGTTATTAATTAATTTATCTTGCCCCCTTTGGAACAAACTAAAAAACAAACTTGTGTTCTTGGCTCAGAACTCAGCCATTCTCAATTTTACTGATGTAGTGGCTTCTTCCTACAGGTGCATTTGCTATAGTAATACACTTTATTGTGTTCTGTACCTATTTTCATTTTTTTTTCTTCTCAGTAATGTAAAAGTATTTATAAAAACTGTTTTCAATGCACAAAAAAACTCTATTTGAAATAAGTAATCTAATTATTAGGGTTTACCTATACAAAGACTTCACCTTTATTACTGTTAAGGAGCATTTACTCTCTGTGTTCTTAGCAAAATAAAGACCCTAAATACTTTTCCTAAGTTCCTCTTCATTAATTTTAATATACTATAATTATAGTGGTTGGCCATTCTTCCTCTTCAAATACTCTGCTAACAGATTTTATGTAACCAGCATTTTACTGTGCAATGTAAAAAATAATAGTTTTGTTTTCTTTTTATTATAGGAGTACACTATAGATGTCTTTTTCCGTCAAAAATGGAAAGATGAAAGATTAAAGTTTAAAGGCCCGATGAACATACTTCGACTGAACAACTTAATGGCCAGCAAAATCTGGACCCCAGATACATTCTTTCATAATGGAAAGAAGTCAGTAGCTCATAACATGACAATGCCTAATAAATTGCTACGAATCCAGGATGATGGAACTCTCTTGTATACCATGAGGTACAACCTTTCATGTAATTGTGTTCACAAATATATATTTCTCTGGCAGGTGACTTCAAACAAGTCCATTCCTTTACCTGAGCCTGGCTTTTCCTAGCTGTATAATGAACTAAATGATGCTGAAATCCTTTTTAAGGTGCTTAGAGCTACAACTCAAGAGCCATGTATATGCGTTAGGTAGTATTAGCAGTTTACCACCTCCTATGACTAGGTAATACAGTGATTCAAACTGGCACATGAAGTCTTATTTCTATACAAAATGAAAGTTGTAGAAGTCTTGTGTAACTGACAGGTGTGTTGATCAGTACTTTACTACTAAGATTATTGGCCATGTACAAAGTCATCCTTATTAAAAAAAAAAAAAAAATTAGATGGTTCAGAGGAAAATTAACTCTAAAACTACTGCCCAGCCACACTGTAGGTAGAACTATTATTGTAAGTAATAGCAAATATTTTATGTAGAATTTTAAAATTATATTTTTACATACTATGTCTGACCAGTTTCCAGGAGAAATGTAAATGTACATTTAAAACAAATCAATATGATCAATATGGTTAAAAAAATAGTAAAAAAAACACATACTTTGTAAATAGAAAGTGCCTTACTATGAGATCTTTTTTCCAGTTTCATATTTCATGTTACTCAACTGATTAAAAACATTGTATCTAAATTTCCAGAAAACTGGGGGTTTTTTGTTTTCTTTTTGTTTTGAGATATTTAATGGAATGTATTGATTGTGACAGAGAATTTAATTCCCATCTCTGGTAAGGCATTTTTATCTATAAAGCAATCAGGAACTGTGTAGTCTTCCCCACAAGCCTTGTCAATGTATCTGAAGCCTGATATACTATACAACTCCCAAGGAAATATAGCACTGACATTTGCAATTGCACGTCTCAACTTGGAGTACAGTTTATTTAATTTTTCTGCGTACATTCCTAATTATGAACTTTGGGGAAAGTGAAATTATATTTCACCATCAAAAATCTGTAATATATAGGACACATGCTTTAATATAGCTTATATTTTATTTTATAGTCTGCAATGACTGTGTAGTATTTTGACTTTTTATAACTTGCTGTACCCAGATATAATTTGTATTAAGAACTTGCCCATTCATGAAGTTCTTTGCTTCATCAAAACCTATCTAGTTGAAAGATCCAAAATAAGTTGTTTCTAAAATGTTTTTGGTCATTTTCCCCCCTGAGTATGATGTATTCACTGTTAATGTATTATTCATATTAATGTATTATCTGCATTTATTATTATTTGCAGGGCAGGCAATTATTTCAGGTGGAGGGCCACTTACTGAGTTTTGGCAAGCCATCGAGGGCCACATGACAGTCAGCCAAGGGCAGATAAATATTAATTTTCTAAATTTTTTAGGGGCCCCATAGGCCAGATAGTATGGACTGGCAGGCTGCATCCGGCCCCTGGGCCACATTTTGCCCACCCCTGTATTAATGTATTATTTGTATTATTTACTGATAATGTATGTACTGTTAATGTAATATGTATTGTAACTGTAACCTGTAAGAAGCAAGGATTTTTTTATGATAATCTTTATTTGACTAACTGTATAGTTGGGAGAGAGATTGGGTTAACTTTTGGGCACAAGGTACCTGTGACAGGGAGCCTGAGGCTCTCGACACTTTAAGGGGAGAGAATACTGCAGTTGAATAGAAGATAGCTGTGAGAGGGCAGGCAGCCAGGAATCCCTGCATCTAGGCAGGGAGCTGTATTAAGGAAGAGGGGAACACCTGCAGCCAGTCAAGAGATTGTAGTCTAGAGTAGGCTGACTAGAAGGATTGGCAGCTAGGAGGCCAGTTAATTTAATGAGCTAGCTGCCAGCAAACAGATAAGTGGCAGACAGGTAGGCAGCTTGGAAGCAAGGGACTCAAGCTAATGAGCTAAGCCATAGCTGAGAAAACAGGGAGGTCATAAAACATAGGAAGGGAATGCCTATGGGGAGCTGCAGGGGCTCATAACCAGATAGGGCAAGGCTGAGGAGGTGCATAAAGCCAGTGCATAAGGAACAGGGTGGTGGTCTGGCCCTGCAAGCTACTAGGGAAGGAGCTCTCAACCAGGAAATCTGTAGGGGAGTGCCTGGCTGGCTGCTGAGCTGCCTTGGAGCTACTAATAAGTCTCTGAGGGCTTGCAGGGAGGGATGTAGCCTGGAGCAGGAGAAGTACAGTCAGTGAGTTGAGGTTATGTTGGCACCCAGTGAGGGGATTGTTTTGTGTTATAGCCAGAATGCTTTTTGTTTTAGTTAGAGCCAGAGGGCTTACCTTTATAGTATAGTTTATACTGGTAGTTTGGGTTTAGGGCTGTTGGGAAGGTGGAGGTCCCAGCTGTGCCTGAGGGTACACAACTACCTTGGACCCAGCCAGGGTTGGGGCTTAAATAGTGAGAGTAACAGAGAAAGGGCCAGGAGTCCAGTGTCTGAGCAAGGTGCGAACAGGGTCAGGATCCTGCAGCTCAAGAGGGGTGAAACAAGTGCCCATAAGGGGCAAGAACCAGGGTCAGGGACCCATAGCCAAAGAGGGATGAACTCATAGCCCAAGAGGGGCAAGAACTAGGGTCATGGACCCATAACCCAGAGTGGGCAAGATCAGCTGAGAAGGGCAGAGACCAGGAACCCAAGGCCCAGCAGCCAAGAAGAGCTAATTCTGGGGTCAAGGGCCCAGAGCAAGACACCAGGGCCAGAAGCCCAGAGATACTGATGACTGACAGGTCTGAAGCCAAGAACCAAGAGGGCTGGACCTGAATCAGTGGGTCAGGGCTGAAAGCTTGTAAGCAGAGAAAAGGGAGGCTGAATCCTCTACAAGGGACTGAACAGTACTGAGTAAAACCTGCAAAGCATAGGCATGGCTGTAGAGGAGGTCAGAGGCTGTGAATAGCCTATAAGGCAATGGCGTATGTACAGGCCAGGAGGGCCCATCTAGCAAAGGATTGGGTTTGGGCTAGTGGGGTCCAGGAGTTGAGCCACTGGTGAAGGTCGGACTAAACCATATTTTTTGGACTCTTGGGCAGCTTCCCTTTGAGAAGTCAACCATTACATCAAGGTGTGGCAGGAGAGCGTAAAAGGGAGGGTACCTGGAGCTAGTGCAGAGCAGTAGCCCTTGGGCCACTAGGAGGCATCATGGCCAACCTTGGGACCTGGTCCTGCTACGGTATCCTTCCACACATCTGAGAAAAAATGCAGAAACAACATGAACTAAATAATAAAGAGCTACATTGTTTCTTGGTTTTTTTAAAGAAGACATTTTTTCACACTTTCCATTTAAGATGTCAAAAAAAAATGTTGAAAGCCTTTGTGGAGCATAGTCCTTAGGCAAATCAGCAGTGCTTATATGCTTTTCTGACAAGTTTATAGTTGCCCAACATGCATCTCTGAAGAAATGACTGTTCTGATCAACTTAGTTATATAATTTATATTTTCATTTAAATGTCCTCCTTCATAGTTTTGAGGTCAGCTGTTTTAAGTTTTTGATGTGATAAGTCAGTGTCTTCTGAAGGACCACATAAAAGGAAAGAAGCAAGAGCTGATTTAAATTTTAATTAGTTTAACATAACACTGCAATTTCATCTTCTAAATCAGCATGAACTCTGTTCACTTTTGTGGAATTGAATTTCTGGTCTTGTAATTGACTTAAATATATAGTGGTGTTTTGCCTTTTAGGCTTACAGTCCAAGCTGAATGTCCAATGCACTTGGAGGACTTTCCTATGGATGCTCATTCATGCCCTTTGAAATTTGGCAGCTGTAAGTACATAGCTAGCAGTACAGCCTGTGGCTAGAGAGAATCTTATATTGTTCAACATCACTCTGCATTCCCCAGGCTTATGGCATACTAGGGTTTTACTAGATTATGTATTTCTCCTTCTCCTTCTCTTTCTCCTTCTCCTTCTCCTTTTTTCTTCTTTTAGTGTTCTTATAATGTATTTGAAAATTTCCTAGATTCCATTTAACAAAGATTATTGTGAATCTGATTCACTTCTGCATTATTCTGTTTTCACATTGCTATAACTGTATTTTTCAATAACATGGGGAAATAAGGAATACATGAGTGGTACAAACATATATATGTTGTATTTATGAAGAGTGAATTAAAGCCTTCTAAACAAAGACAGATACTAGAAAATATATCTATGAAGTTTCTAAAGCTTCTAATTGTCATAGCTTAGTATTGAATGTATTTATTTTCTCTTGTTGTTGTTTTGTTGTTAATTAGTGAAGACTTCATCAAATAACATCTTGAATTAGAAAGTTTCATTGACTAGAACATTTTGCTGTTACACAGGTGAGGCCTGATCTTGATTTTGGTAGTAAGTGAGATCAAAAGCAGGCCTACCAGTTTTAGAAGCCAGGAAATTGGGGGGGAGGGGGGGGGGGCTTATTTACCTCATAAAAGGGTTAGAGTGTTGTTGTAGCTGTGATGTTCCAAGACAGTGGTACCACTTAACCTTTTTGGCAGGATGGGCAGTACCTAGGCTGTCTGTGTGCTGGATCTGCCTGATGGTCTGGATCCAGCATGGGGTGGTTGCAGCAGGGTCCCATCTGGCCATGCAGAGGGGCGCAGGGGGCATCCCCACTCCAACCTGGCCCCATGGAGGGGAGGGGGCATGGCCCAGCCCTGTGGGGGAAAGGTGTGTATCCCAGGCCCAACCCAGCCTCACAGGGGATATTGGGTATGGCCAGGCCCCATGACAGGATGCATGACCCAGATGTGACTGGACCTCATGAGAAGAGGGGGTGTGGCCCAACCTTATGTGGGGAAAGGGACCACGGCCCAACCCCAACCCAGCCCCATGAAGGGAAGGGGCTTGACCCAGCCCCATGTGAGAGAGGGGGCATGGCCCAGCCCCATCTGTCCTGGGGGAGGGGAATGGCACTGTCTTATCCAGCCACCGGGGTGTGATGGGGTGTGACCTGGCCCCAACCTGCTGTTCAGGGCTTGGGGTTTAGGAATTTGGCAGCTGGGGAGGGTGGCTGTATTTATTACCACTGCTCCTCTGCTGCCAAATTTCCCAATCCATAGGGAGCCCCGCAGGCCAGATACCTATGGCTCCATGGGCTGCATTTGGCCCGTGGGCTGGAGGTTGAGTGCCCCTGGTCCAGGAGATGTATGAAAGCCAAGGTTTTTTATGTTATCTTTTACTGGACCAACTGGATAGTGGGGAGATGTGTCGGACAAGCTTTTGGGCATCAAATACCCTTTCCCAGGGCTAAGAAAGAGGTGGACACAGACTGTATGGCAAAGAAACAACTCCATGTAAATGCAAACATCCTGCCTTTCTTGAGAAGTAGTTCACACTCTGCTGGACCCAGGAGAGAGAGGAATTTTCAGGGTGCTGTTTAGCACCATTTAGCAGCAGGATCACTAGAGGTACTATTCATCACCACCTGGGCATTTTCAGAGCACAGGGCATTCTGCCCATGTTCCTGATATATCCTCTTCCCCAGGAGTGTATGAGGAAACACAGGAATAGATTTCACTGTTTATGACTTCTGGGGATATCTCCAATATATCTATGCGGATGGGTTAGAGATTGTCATCTTTCACCCTATGATTTCTCCAGTATTTTTAATTTTAAATTGAAATTGCAAAGCCCTGCACTTGGAATGGAATAACTCCATGCACAAATACAAACTGGAGAATGACTGCCCAGGCTGTAATATTGCAGAGTAGGACCTGGTGTTAAAGTGGACCATAAGCTGAATATGAGTTTATGGTGTGCTTTTGTTGCAAAAAAGACAACATCATACTGGGTTATATTAACAGGGCTGTTGCCTTCAAATCAAGGGAAGTGGTTCTTCCACTCTTATTTGGCACTGGAAAGATCTCACTTGAAGGACTGTATTCAGTTTTGGACCCCACACTTCAAGAAGGTAGACAATTTGAAAAAGGTTCAGTGCAGGGCAGTAAAAAATATTAGGGGCCCTAGAGGCAAGACTTATGAGGAAAGGCTGGAGAAGATAAGACTGAGGGGGGTGTTGATTATCGTCTTCAAATACCTGAAGGGTGATTGCAGAGAGGATAGAGATGGACTTTTCTCAGTGGCTGTAGGGGACAGAACTAGGAGCAAAGTGCATCAGAAGAAATTTAGGTTGGGGATTAGGAGGAATTTTCTGACTATGAGGATGGTCAAGCATTGGAACAGGCTGCTTAGAGAATTTGTGGATTCTCTATGCTTGGAAATGTTCAAGGGCAGGTTGGACAAACACTTGGCTGTGGTGTTTTAGTCAGGGATAATCCTGCCTTGATCAGGGAGCTCGACTAGATGATCTTGTGAGATCCCTTTCAGCCCTACATTTCTATGATCCTATCCCACTAAAATTGCCTTTCTTCATCCTTCTTAATCAGCTAACCCAAAATGAGGTGGTTAGATCAAGACCGTATTTGTAAAGATTGTCTGTGTGAATCTGTGCGATTGTCCATGTGAATTTCTCAGGCAAGGACTTTCCAGCAGCTCATTTCCAAGAAGATGACAACACACTGTCCTGCAGAGAAATTTAAAAATCTCAACAGAGTACCTTCTTGTTAGATTTTCAGTCATTGGGGGTATGGCTATTTGTATGACAACTCTCCTTTAGGGCCTCTGGAGCTTTCTTGAGATGAAAATGACTGATTCCCACTTAGAAGAGAGTGCATTTTTTTTCTTCACCTGCATTACAGCCACAGGATCAGACTTAAAATTTACCTGTCACAGTCCATCAGACTCTGAAAATGATTTCTTCCACCAGTGTTCTGGCTTCTTACTTCATGCTTCATTTGATTAGTGGGGTATTAGACTAGGAAAGCTTGCTGAAAATTCTCAGCATTTTCCTATGTCCTCATAGGTGAAGATACATGAATGCTGTCTGAACTACAATTTTACTTTGCTTCTCCTTTTAGTTTATGTTGCCAGAGCTATTAGACTCCTAATAGAATGTCGATTTCCAATGAAGTCCTTGGCAAGATATTTATTTGCCCTTTTGTTTTCCTCAGGAGTGCACTGTGAAAGCAGCCCAATAGTGTCACTATGCCCTTGTGCCATAGAGATGCCAATTTAGGGAGTGAACTTTAAGGAAGAAACACAGGCCAATGGATTTCAGGGCAAGGAACCCTGTAAAAGTGTTAGAAGTCTTACCCACCCATATTCATATATGAACTTCAGCTAATCAAAAAATATTTGAAGAACATGTCAGGCATACAGAAAAAAATCCTCTAAAAATACAATCTGCATGTAACATATTATTTCCACTTTTGCCCATTTAAATTCAGATTTCAGGGCTCAAGCAATATGTTCTCTCCTAAATTCTCTAACCATTAATAATGATTTAGAGACTGGTTTAGCAATATGTTGCTTCTAAATTAATAGCAATAATGCCATTTATTTTGATCAGTGAGCATTCTAAATTGTGATGCACATATACTGTGGGACTTGCATAAATTCATAACTGCAGTATTCATAAGCAAATTTTACATGGTCAAGCCCTATTTTGTCTTGTCAGTCTTTGGATACTATGATGGTATTTTGAAGATAGTTCCCTTTATTTAGACAAGTTCAGAAGTTGCAAATTGTGGACACACTTTCTTTTTGACTACTGACAAAATTATTTTTTCAATATTTCTCATAGATGCATACACAACTTCAGAAGTGACCTACATTTGGACTTATAATGCATCTGATTCAGTACAGGTGGCAGAAGATGGCTCTAGGCTGAATCAATATGATCTTTTAGGCCAAACTATTGGAAAGGAGACAGTTAAATCAAGCACAGGTTAGTAACATGCATTGGTGTTGGGAGAGAGAGAAAATCACAAATTTTGGGATTATTCCTATGGATTATTAACCCCTGATCCTACATGCATGTGGGTGGAATCCTGCATTTTCATTCAGCCCCATTAATTTCAGAAGGGCTTTCTGTGGGTACTGACATCTGCCAAGGCAGCATAGAGGCCCATGGTAAACAGTGCTTTGAGGTAATTGTAACACATATAACTCAAGATAGATACTGACCCCAGTTAATTCTCACTGAACTGTTTTGAAAACTTTCCTAGAATTCACTTGGGAGTATGATACAGTTCACAGTTGCAAAGTCAAAAGTTCATTTATATTCAGGAGGATTTTTCTACCTAAAGTAGTTCTCCAAACTATGTCCGTAGCACATTTGTTTCAAGTAAATGGACCAGGCTGCCTTTTATTGCAAGGAAAGTGAATTGCCTGTGGATAGTAACATCCTGTTTAATATTTTTTTGTTTCTGTTTCACATATTAGGTGAATATACAGTAATGACAGCTCATTTTCACTTGAAGAGAAAAATCGGTTATTTTGTGATTCAAACTTACCTCCCCTGCATCATGACAGTCATTCTTTCCCAAGTGTCATTTTGGCTAAACCGAGAGTCTGTACCTGCAAGGACAGTCTTTGGTAAGTATACTAAGAAAGACACAGTTTGTTTCAGTCAACTCCTACAGCAAAATATTTCCAGCAGAAGCCTCTTTAGTCCTTTCTGAATTTCATTATAGAAAGTGACAACGTGCTGTTATATCTAGTCAAAACCGAGTTTTCTTCCACAGCACACAACATTCATTCTGTCTTCCATAAAACCCTAGTTCAGGGGTTGGCAACCCCCTGGCATGGGTGCCAGCGTATGGCACGCAAAGGCATTTTGCTTGGAATGTGAGCCTCAGGGCAGACGGTGGGGAAGGGAGCAGGGCTGCGCTGCCACAGTAAGGATTAGGCCCTTCACAGCTCCTCTGCCATCCGCCCCTGGCATGCCAATATCTTACAAATTGCGGTTGTGGGTGTTTATGGCACTCTGCCCAAAAATGTTGTCAGCCCTTGCTCTAGTTAATGCTATAAAGTTCCACAAGGGGAAAAGTTCCACATCAGGAAAAATAAGGTCAAATCCTAGCCCCATTTAAGTCAACGGGAGTTTTGCCAGTGCCCTCTATGGGACCAGGATTTTCCCCCATATATATTTACGCAGTCAGCAAGCAGATGTGACTGTAGTCTGTTGACAATTTCAAGGTCTACCTAAGTCTGGCCTTATTTATTAGTGCTTCTTCTGTACCCTACTTCCCTCTATCAGCCTTAATCCTGTCATTATCTAATCTTTGTATTCGGTTACCTATGTGTAATGATATTGATCCACTTATGACATTTGACATTTGCTGGTATTCACTAAAATAATTTTGGTGGTTTATTCTATTCTTTCCTCTTGCCTTTTGCTTGTTTTAATGTTTTTAAACTCTGTGAGGCAGGGGCTCTTTGTGTTTCTTATATACACTTTGAACTTTAACATTAATAATACATGCTATTTATTTATTGTAAAATAAGAGAATGTCATGCATCTATTTGAGGAAGAATATACTACAATGAAGATCATTTAAATGCAGAAAAATTGAAAGCTTTTAATTTCATATCTATCTATCTATGTGTATATAGATAAGACATTAAAATTATGCTTATTATGCTTATAAACATTATGGTTATTTAAATATATAAAGAAGGGAATAGTATTGGATTCTGTTAAGTATTCAGACTCTGTTTTCTGAGTTTCTTTCGTGACCCCTGTTCAGTAACTTAAAGTGCAACAAGAACTATTTCTACTTATGCTTTTTTTCAAAGTTTAAAGTTGTCTAGTAATCTTCAGTGAGGATTTTCTTTCAGTTAACTTCATGAAATCTCACAGGCCCTAGTACAGCATTAAACGTTTGAGTACACTTCATTGTGAAAGAAAATAACTCCAAATTACTCAAAAAGTTGATTTCATGTTTGAGAGGAGTTGCTTCTCTTCTTCTTTCCTATCCTTACCTAATGTACTCTCACATCACAGGCTAAAATTAAGGACTTGGGATAATGAGGTTTGCAAAATTGGGCTCTTTAATCCCTTTCATCTATGACATGAATTTAATGTTGCTGACCTAAACTGCCTCTAGTGAATTGTGATCAAATGTTATGGTATTTTTGTTTTACTTCTGAATATCTCATGCAGAAAGTTTTAAAATCGATAATTAAATAAGTCTTGACTATGTTATTTCTAGCAGATATATTTGAAAAGTATTTGATTGTTCCTCCAAGCTGAGTTATTTGAGGTATAGCAATTTGTTCAGTTCAGCATTGTAACTTATTTCGTTTGGTAAGGTGCTTCTATTATGCATTTAGTGTCAACAAAATTATTTTGTACAAGTATTATATTCTTGCTTCATTTTTAACGTGATAACATTTTAAAACATTTCATGTATATGAGTGGGATAATTGAGCATAAACACTTTCCAGATTTGAAAATTGCTAGTCAATAGAAATGACTTGTGTTGATGCATGTACAGTAGAACTGGGTGAGAATGTCAGAGTGAACATATCAAAATTATGCCCTGAAATATTAAATCTTTAATATCTTGATCTATTCCCAGATAAGGTCAGGACTGTAGTTGATGGCGCTGATTGTTTTTCTAATACATTGACCATAGTACAGAAGTTTATATTCATCAATATGTCTATAAGGCCTCCAGTAGACATTATATTTGTTGTGTGTTTTATGTACAACAAATCTTAACATGTTGGATATTAAACCAGTTTATCTCTGGATAAAAAAAAATAGTAGATCAGCCACAAATAAGTTGATTGTTGAAATATAGAAAAAGCCCAGAAATCTGTGTACTGCCTGTGGAAGTATTCCCCAATTCAGTCATTATGGAACAGAGTTGTAAGCCTGTCCTCCAAAGACCCTTGGGCAGTCCTAGTATAAAGAGCATTGCAAAAGTGGGGACCAATTAGAAGATGTGTGGTAGTGCATGGCTGCAGCATTCAGTGCTGCAGAAATTCTGTAAAGTGCTGTAGCCTACTGGTTGGCCATTCAGGCTGTTGCAGACAGGTTTTCAGGACTGGCTAGTAGGGTTGTGTGAAGCTTTGGTTGCTGATTCGATTTGGCAGAGATTTGGCCTGATTAGTCCCCAGTTCCAGCCAAATCCAAATCAAATACAGCCTGTTTTGTGCACCCCTACTGCCTCGATCCCACTGGGCCTCATCAGATCTCAGAGCAGTGGGGGGGGAGCCAAACCTTTTGACAGGTTTGCCACAAGGTAAGCCATGCACCCTCCCTGAGTGCCACCCTGATCCCCTTCCCCTGTCCTATCTGCTGCATTGCTTTCTGTTCCTTTCCCTATCTGTTGCTTTGCTGTCTGTTCCCTGCCTTATCTGCTACTGTGTTCTTTGCTCCCTGACCGATCTTCCATGTGCCACACAGACAGACATTACACATAAATCGGTTTAAGTGATCAGAAACTTGTTGAAACCTGTAACAGAACAGATGTTCAGTGCACATAAACCATTTTCAAAATGGCCAAAACCAGTTTGAGATAAACCTGGTTGAATGTAGTATCAGAATTAACTGATTTGGTTCAAACTGGCTTATGCAATGTCTGTTCCAGACCCCTTACTGATTTAAGATAAACCAGACACCCCTATCATCCTGGCATGCTCTTTGGGCTGTGGGAGAGAGGGGCAACCTGTTCCAGCCACAGGGCTGCCCTCACCCCTCTGCTCTCTAGCCGGTGCAGGGACCAACCCTAGCACAGACCTTGGCTGTCATGACCTTGTTAAGGCAAAGTGGGAAGAGAAGGGGTTAATTCTTCCCTCCTCCCCTCTTACCCCACCTCAGCTGTGGTCAGTCTGAATGCGGGGAGCAGAGGGGAGGGGACTGCAGCGGTGGCCCCTGGAGCTGGCAGACCCCTGCTGCAGGAAAGTGGCGGAGGGAGGAATTAACCCTTCTCCCTGCCCCTTTCTGGGGCCATACTGGGTAGGTTGTCCCACAGGGTTGGGAGGTAGGCTCTGTTCCGTGCTGGGTGGGAGTTTTCCACCTCCTCCTCCTCCCAGGGCCCCTCTGAGGTGCTGGATGGGGACTCTTCCTCTTCCTCCCCTTTTCTGCCTCCTGTTGCTGTGGCGCTCCATGTGATGCTACTCAGCCTCAGATTGGGGGCTGGAGGAGGCTCTGTTCAATGCTGGGGGGAGTTCTTACCTTTCCACCTTATGATTCCAGAGGGGCAGCAGGAGTGCAGAGTTCAGCTAGGCAGGGTATGGGTATGTGGGGTGTGAGGGAGGGTGGGGGTGTAGGGACCCGCACACACTCCCCCCATGGTATGCAGCCCCCACTGCCTGGCAGCAGCAGCAGCAAGTGCAGAGGTCAAGGTGCTCGTCCCCGGCACAGGCACTGCTCCAGCCAGTGCTGCATGGAGGGAGAATGGAGCCTGCCTTATTCCTGCGGCTCTGCTCCCTGAGCCTACAGCAGGGGAAGCCCCACCCTGGAGCCAGCTGCTTCTCACACTCCCCGCTATACACTCTGCTGGGAGTGGAGGGAACCCCACCCTCTGCTTCCCCACAGAATCCAGTGCAGGGCTTCCCCTCTGTGAGTGTGGAGCTGCAGGCATGATGTGAAGTGATGAAACAGTCAGCCAGTGCTATGCTAGAGGTGAGGAGCACAGCCCCCTGCAGCCTGCCCAGCTGCTTCTGTACCTAGGGCTCTGTGCCGTGCCTGCAGCTCCGCACTCACAGAGAGGAAGCCCCATGCTGGACTCTGTGTGGAAGCAGGGGGTGGGGCTCCCTCCACTCCTGGCAGAGTGCACAGCAGAGAGCAGGGAAAGCAGCTGGCTCCAGTGTGGCTTCAGTGTGGGGCTTCCCCCACTGCGGGATTAGGCTCAGGGAGCAAAGCCACGGGAATAAGGCTGGCTCTGCTCCTTCCCCCTGCACAGCTCAGGCCAGAGCTGTGCTTGTGCTGGGTACAAGCACCCTGACCTCCTTGCCTGCTGCTGCTGCCAGGCAGTGGGGGCTGCACGCCATGGGGGGAGTGTGCATGGGTCCCTATACCCCCCCTCCCTCACACCCCACACCCTTCACCCTGCCCAGTTGAGCTTTGTGCTCCCGCTGCCCCTCTCAGGGGAGGAGGAGGAAGGGAAGGAGTTCCCCACAGCATGGAACCTTGCCTCCCCCCTGCTCTGGGAGGACTAGGAGGAAGAGTTCCCCCTCTGGGGCTGGGCAGCATCCAATAGAGCTCCCCCTCTGCACCCTGTAGCAATGGGGGAGAAGCAGGGTGAAGAGTCATCCCCCTCTGGGGCCAGGCAGCCTCACAGAGCCCCCCTCCCCACCCTGCCACAAGAGGGGGGGAGGAGGGAAAAGAGCCCCCCCCCCCAGCACCAAACAGGCCCCCCTCCCAGCCCTGCGGCAGTGGGGGAGAGGGAGGAGGGGGAAGAGTTCCCTTCTGAGGCCAGGCAGCCCTGTGTGCCAAGATTGATCCCAGCTCTCAGGGAGCCGCAGGAGCAGGCCTGTGGGGGCCTGGCCACATCCCCGCTCCTCAGCTCAGCTTCCCTGTGGAAGGCAGGGCTGCTTAAGCAGCTCTGGGCTTCTGGCTTGAGCCACTGCAGGCATGTGTC